TTTGAGGGAGGTCGACGATGTATCCTGGACCTGTGGCACTTACCGATAACTGAAGTTACAGTACCCGTGATGAGTAATTATAAGGGCATGCTCAGCTGGAACACCGCCAGCTGAGCCTTCGGCTGCTGGGTCATCGGCAGGGACCACATCTGCCGGAACATCTGCGGGTGGGGTTGGCCCCCGGGGGGCATACTCAGCTGGAATACCACCAGCTGTGCCATCAGCTGCTGGGTCATCGGCAGCATAATATAATGGTTAATTAGTAACCATAAATAACTGCATAATGCCGAGCAACACCGGCCAGACTTAAGTTTGGAACAAACGTCCCGGGAACATCAGTTAACACATCAAGCATCAGTCGGAACATCAAACATCAGTCGGGACACCAGCCGCTGGGCCGTGCCCCATGGCTGGTGGATCATCATATGGGGCCACATCAGCTGGGACTTCAGCGGGAGGGGTTGGCCCCCAGGGGACATGCTTAGCTGGAACGCCACCAGTTGGGCCATCAGCTGCTGGGTCCCCGTCAGCATAACATGATAGGTAATTATTAACCATAAATAACTGGTTAAAATTAGCGTGTTTGAATAATTGAGGAATGGCTACAAACAATTAATTAATAATAACAGTCCAAATAATGATGGAATAAATATTAGCCGCTGGGTCAACATCCGGGGCCACATCAGCCGGGACGTCAGCGGGCGGGGTTGGCCCCTAGGTGACACGCTCAGCTGGGACACCACCAGCTGGGCCAACAGCTGCTGGGCCATCGGCAGCATAACAAAATGAGTAATCATTAACCATAATAACTGGTTAAAATAGCGTGTTTGAATAATTGATTAATAGCCACAAACGAATAATTAAAATAACAATCAAATTAAATGAGTTATTATAAGGTCATGGATCATCGGTGGGAACACACCCGCCAGCCCGTCGGGATCATCAGTTGAGCCGACGTCAGCAGCTGGGCTTGGCCCCCCAGTGGACATGCTCCGCTGGCACACCGCCAGCTGGGCCATCAGCTGCTGGGTCATCGGCGTCATAATATAATGGGTAATCAGTAACCATAAATAACTGGTTAAAATAGTGTGTTTGAATAATCGAGTAATAGCCACAAACGATTAATTAAGATAATGATCGAATAATAAATGCAAATTTATAGGCCATGGGTCATCGGCGGGAAACACATCCGCCAGGCTGCCGGGATCATCCGTTGAGCCAATGTCAGCAGCTGGGTTTGGCCCCCAGGGGACGTGCTCAGCTGGAACACCACCAGCTGGGCCATCAGCTGCTGGGTCATCAGCGGCATAACATAATGGGTAAATAGTAACCATAAATAACTGGTTAAAATAGCTTGTGTGAATAGTTGAAGAATGATCACATATGAGTAATTAAAATAACGAACAAAAAACAATGAATAATGATAAGGACAAGGGTCATCAGCGGGAAACACCTCCGCCAACCCGTCGGGATCATCAGCTGAGCTGACGTCAGCAACTGGGTTTGGCCCCCAGGGGACATGCTCGGCTGGGACACCACCAGCAGGGCCAGCAGCTGCTGGGTCATCGGCAGCAGAACATAATGGGTAAATAGTAACCATAAATAACTGGTTAAAATAGCGTGTTTGAAAAATTGATGAATGGCCACAACGAGTAATTAAATAACAATCAAAAGTATAAGGTCATGGGTCACCGGCAGCAGGGCATAATGGGTAAAGTAGTAACCGAAAATAACTGGTTAAAATGGCGTGTATGGATAATTGAAGAATGGCCACAAACGTGTAATTAAAACAAACAAAATAAATGAGTAATTATGAGGTCAAGGGTCATCAGCGGGAAACACATCCGCTAGAACATCAGCTGACCCAACATCGGCGGCTGGGCTTGGCTCCCAGGGGACAAGCTCGGGACCACAACAGCCACCCGCGTGGTGACGCCGCCGGGCCGCCCACATGGCCCAGGCAGGGCGACACCCGTGCCCGGGACGCTGCTAGGCCCCCAGGGCACGGACAGGACGTACGTGCACACGTACGGACGTGCACACGTACATTCCACGCCGGATGCAGTCCGCTAAGGACAGGGCCCAGCACACGCCAGCCCGTGGTGGAGAGGGATAGGGAGGGCATAACACGGCCCAGGGCGTGCGCTCCAAGGAGCGTCTTGCCGCGTGGGCATCACGACCAGGGCGTTGGCCCTGGGAACTGGCCTGAGGCCTAGGCCTGGGATCTAGCCATGTGTCGACGCCGATGTGGCGTGGGCCCCAGGGGCCGGGCCCAAGGGTGGAGATCCGCCACCGCCTGGCCACGTGGCGTCGTCGCCAAGGGCGCCCCTGCTTTCCCAGGAGACAGCAGGAGGCCAAGGGAGCTAACTAAGGCGGTACACACAGACCGCCAGGGGACGGTGCTAGGCACACGCCACACTGGGGAGGTCCTGACTAGATTTAAACACAAAACCTCACTCTTACCTTGGCGGTAGAAGTGTGGGGCAGGAGGCCCCTGCCGGATCAGTCTGAGAGGTCGAGGGTCCCATAACTTCCAGGAGAGAGAGGTCTGGGACTGAGGTAGCTGGCGTACTCACCTAGTTGTACTCACCTAGTTGTGTTTGCGGGGGGTTGAGCTCTGGCTCTTTGGTCCCGCCTCTCAACCGTCAATCAACAGGTGTACAGATTCCTGAGCCTATCGGGCTCAAGTCCATCGTGTTGTCCATCTTGTTTGTAGTCCGACGTCTGGAGGCGAGTTCCAAGTGCAGCTGCGTTGGCGGTAAGAGTGAGGCAGAGCCTCTCGTTCCACCCCCCAATTTATAAGCTCCCAGAACTTCCCGGGCAGTCCGCGGAAGGCGCTGCGCAAATGTTTCTTTGTCCCCCTTTTCAGAAACATCTCCGCTTTGTTTCAAAGCAGAGGCCATTTCTCCGATCCCAGGGCTCTTGCAGTGAATGCCTTTCAGCTAGACTGGTTGAGAGTCCTTTAACTGTTTCCACCAATTCAGCTTCTGCTCCGGGTCCTTGTCAGTGTAGTTTTACAAGGAAACGGTGGTCCTTCTGGTGTCTTGATGGTTGGCTCAACCTTGGTTTCCGACTCTCCTTGCCCGGCGTTCTTCGGTTCTTCACATCTGGACTTTCCATCATCATTCTTTTGTCTCTTTTCAGGTCATGTTTTCCTTCCTATCTTTGTGATTTATTAACCAGAATCTCATATCAAATACCATTGTGTCTTATGTTCTGTGTTAGTGGAGCTACTGTTGCTTGCATTCGGCATCAGTACTGCTTCATCGCCATTTCACAAGTTGTCTTGTGCTTTGTTTCACCTTTTGGCCTGCTCATACTCTGCCTAAGCCCTCCTGGTCTTTTGACCGCATCCTCGCCTTTCTGTCCTTTACCCAATTTATGGCTTTCCCTTTGGCCTGGTATTCCTTTCTCAAGGCAATGTTCCCTCTTGCCTTGAGAAAGTTCCCATGCCAATGTTCCCAATGTTCCAATGTTCCTGCCTCTTGCCTCAACTGCCATGTTCTCATTGGCGGTTGTAACGTGGAGGGGGGGTCATGCTCTTCTCCAGAGGTGTCGATTTTGTTCCCATGGCCCTGCTGGGCATTTTGTTCATTTGCAGCCTTCTTTCTTTTCTGGCGAAGAATAATTCAGCAGGCTTATGGAGGGGTCCTTTGACTGTTGATGCTTGTTTGGTTTGGTTGGAGGTACATCATATGTTATTCTAGTGGCAGCTCTTCATCACTGCATTTGTGCCACTGATTCTGCCTTAGTGGATGCTTTGCAAATTGATCCTATCTCCTTGGTCCCTTGTTCCAAGGCTTGCATTTCTCTGGTCATCTGTAGTCTACCCTTGTGCCCATGATGTTCGGAAATACGTCACACCTGCAACTGTCTTTGCCAGCATGTACTGGGCTGATATTCTAGCATGGGGGTTTTGGAGGTCTAACAGGGTCTTTGTGTCCCAATATTTGGTCAATGTACGTGGGCTTTCTCATGTCTGTGTTGCCTTAGGCTCTCTCTCTTGGCCAGTTGTCTCACCTTTGCCATAGTACCTGCCATCTATTCTTTTCCTTGATAAGTCCCATGGGTTTCATCTCTGTGGTTAGTTAGCTTCAGGAAGCCACAAGGAACTTCCCCAGAAAACCAGCATTTAATGTAATAAATGTCTCTTTCTGGATGAGTAGATGAGCCCTGGTGGCTCCTTGACACCCTCACTTCTTACCTGGATCATCAGGTGGTGGTTGTGGGTTTTCACATCTGCTGCAGAAATAACTTGGTATAACTGTGGGAGTGCTGGGGCTCCAGGCTATTCCCCCAATGGTAGTGGTTTGATAGTAACGAGTTCGAGCTAATTTTGAAATTCGATTATTTATAGTTTGGGGAGTTCGTTTTGTAGTTTTTGAGGCTTTGATTCTTTTGAACTCAATAATGGTCTGTAATGCTTCATTGACTTTCTAGATGCTTTCCAATTGGGGTGGCGGCATGTTACTTGCTCTCTGAGCCTCTGAGGAGAAGGGGGGGGGGGAGGTTCTGGCTCTGGTCCTCGGTAGACCAAATAGAACTTTGCCATTGACGTGAACTAGTAGTAGTTGGAAGCAATCTCAATGGGATAGTTTCAGGAAGCTACAGGGGCTCATCCAGGAAGATATGTTTTGTTACTTTCAACACTGATTTTATGTATTTATAAATCTTTAGTATTAACAAGCCTTCCAACTTACTTACATAGTGCCTCCTTAGTGGTGACTGGATAACAAATTAGTGAGGCACCTGTGGACAGGATCACTTTATGTCCAGATGAACAAACAATACATACAGCCAACTATTATAGTGTTACTGTGCTATACTGTATTGTACTTGGCAAGGCAACCAACACATTTCTAATTATTAATAATTTACTAGCACCGTATTTTTTTTTTTTACTTTTAGAAACAGGATGTAGTTTATATATGGGCACACTAGGTATTGAAGTTACATTCAGTTGATCTTTATCATAGTTTTGGAAAAAAGAAACAAAAATGCATGGGAAACATATTTATTGTCGAGATGTTGTACTGTATTGTCAAAAACATTAATAGGGTGTACAGCACCTTATAATCATCTTGTTGGGGACAGGTAGCCTGTGTATATAAAGTACATATGTTAGGTTTGTATTGAGGTACCCCAAGATCAACTACTGACCCTCCCCAGGATGCAACTCCATAACAGTTGGGTAACTTCTGGGGGTATCTATTTACTGCTACGTGAACAGAAGCAGTGGATGATAGGAAATGTGACCAACCATTTCTGTACCACCTAGGATTCCCGATTGAGAGTTGAGAATGAACCCAACTGTACTACTTCTGATAAACTGTTAAGATATACATCACATGTATACATATATATCACATATATACAGACAATTTATTTAATATTATGAAATTAATTTTAGTAACAACAGTAATTATGTCACTGAGCTATGAATGAGATTTTTCTGGAAGTATAACAAATCAGAGTAATTGGGGGGTGTCATCAATATACAGTGATTAAAAATATATAAATAAAATGTACTTTATATTTTACACCTGTCAGGCTAAGAATATGCAGCAAGCTGAGTGATAATGACAATAGAATACATTAGAAGAAAACTATTAAATAATGTGCCCATTTGTACATCATAACTGTGTTAAGAATACAAAGAACGGAGTCATAAATCATTACGCCAGAACTCAGCAGTGGATTACTTTTACAAAAAGTAACCTTTTTCTTCAACAAGAAATTATATACTGTGCAGTACAGTATTTAAAAGACTAAAAAGAAGCAAGATAAAGAGCAAGGCTAAGTATATAGAGAAGAGCCTGAAAAGTCACATGAAGACACTGCAGACAATACAAAAAATGCAGTCATTTGCAACTGAATGTAAGAACTATGGTTTGAGAATGAAGTATTTATATATTTATATGGTGTACAGAATTTAGAGCAGAGATATAATTTTAATGTGTCTTCCTTTTCTTGAATTTCTTGAATCCTCCTCTTTTAGTTTTAAATTGGTCCTTGGCTCTGTCACTTCTGAAGCGTTCCCTGCGCTGACCTCCACTGCGTCCGATTCCTTGTTTCTTCTTACGCCAATCAAATTCTTTAAAATTTCTGTCACGGTCCACCTCCCAATGGAGTTGCTTTGCATCTGTAAATAGCACGTAATTGTACTTTTAGAATTCAATTAAAAATGTCAACATTTTCTTTTCAAAAACAAATAAAAAGCATCATACTGTACATCACTCCATTACATATGTGCTTCAAATTTTATGTGAGATAACTACGGAAGTAATCTTTTGTTTTGAAATATTGAAATATTCAACAATGACTAGCAAAAGAAAAAATAAGAAAAAATATTCTTCCAACGTGATGAGGTGTGGCCAGAGAACAATGAGTAGAATGAATTTCATATACTTCCTCATGAATAACACCCATTAAGGTTCTTGATCTACATAATTTCTGAAAGTTGAAATCACAATAGTAACCTTTCATTATTCTATATGTTTGATGCCTTTTCTGGGGGGAGCCCCGTCGGCTCCCCGGAGCTTTACCGGCTGATATGCTAATGTCAGACTTTGGCATCAGTCATGTGTATGGAGTTCTAGGGCCTACCGGGGACCACGAGCCAGAACCTGGCCCCCTCAGAGAGGCAAGGGGAGCAATGGCCTATAGAAACCCCCGTGTGGTTGGAAGCATTCTATGTCTGCCATCGACCGGGTCAAGCATCCAGAAAGGTAAGCATTCCAAAACAAACCCCTATTCTGGTGAAAATTGCTACCTAAGCCGAACTAGTGAATAGAACTCTTCAACAGAAAACACGGAAACTAGTATGACGTCATACGTCACCGCGCCGCTGTCTGCGCAGCTCCCCCCTCCCCGGGAGGGGGAAGGGGGAGCCCCAGACCTCCCACGCCGGCTATCCACCCATCAGTTCTTCGGCTGATGCTATAGGCAATGGTTATGTGCTCCGGCTCCAGTGGTTGTTTCAGCACTGTACCTAGGGTGTGGTGTCTGTTTTCTAGGTGGTGCGTGAGCCGGGTGTGATTCTTCAGTACTCGGGCTGCATGCGCCTAGGGTTCCCTTCCCTAGGTGCCCTGTAAGTACTGCCCTTGGGGCTTGGGGCCACCTTCCACAAGTTCCTTGGGTCCTGCCCCTGCTTGGCCGTTTACCGCTTGGTTTTCGGCCGCTCTTTGTGTGCTCGGGTGTTCTGTCTCCCTTGTTCGCCTTAGAGTAAGGGGCAGTGTTTGCACTGGTGGGGCGCGGGGTACTGTGCAGCTTGTCTTTACCAATCATAGCGGCCGGCTCTGTTCCGCTTGGGTACGCTGTCCTCTTGCGGGGTTTTCTTTTTCTTTTGTTTATATACCTGGTGGGGGGGTCTGCCTTCGTTCTTGCCCCTTGTGTCCCTTGTGTTCTGAGTATTTCTGGTGGTACCCCCTGCTAGGTCCCCGTGAGTGTACACGTCCCGGGGGTTCAGCTCTTAGAAAGTTGTTTGGTAGCTTGGGTGCCGGTTAGCAGTACCCTGCCTGGGATTACCCGAGCGCGAGTCCTCTTAAAGTAAACGCTCGGGACCCTGGGAAACCCCTGGGGGCGCGCGGGTCCGATGGATGTGACCCCAGAGCCCCCCCCCTCGCTTCCAGCGAGTTTGAGGGTTGCTCTCACCTTTTGTCTCTGGGTGACTCTCTGTTTTGCCTCCGTCTGCTGCCTGTGGGGTCGGTGACACCTTCGACCCGGTGTCCTGCGAGTTTGGTTGCTCGTTGTGGCTCGGTTACCCAGTTGTGCTAACAAAGCGGGTGCGGGCAGCAGGGGCGTTGCACTTGAGCCTTGGTGGTGGCAACGTTCTCGTGGTTTCCTCCCCGGGAGCCCCGGGGCTGCCCCGTTGTATTTCGTTTTGGGACTTGGGGGTGTTGGTTGCTTCGGTTCCATCCACGCCCCCTTGTCTTTCCCCTGGTTCACCCTTCCTGCCTGCATCCGGTTCCTTACCGTCTGTAGGTTCAGGGCGGGGTGTTTGGTGGTGTTGAGACTCGGGCAGTCTCGGGGAATTCCCCTTCCGGGGTAGTGACGGGGGCATTTGGGCCTGTTCCTCCAGCCGTGTTGTATGAGTCTGCCAGTGGGCTCCCTTCCTTAGTGTTTTCACGGCTGCCCCGGTTTTCTGGTACGGCCGGGGCTTTGGGGGAACGGCTCGGCCCGGGGCCTGTTGTGTAGGTTCCCGGGGCTGGGGAGGGGCTGACTTGGGGGGCCTTGGCCCCGTTAGACCCCGTGGGGGGTTTTATCCCCCTCTAGGCGGGGCTTGTGGTTACGCGGAGTGGGGTCTTTCCTCCCCACTCGCCGTACGTGCTGTTGGACGTCGGCCCCTCCCCGGGCTCGGTTCCTTGGCCTTTGAGTCGGTTGGTTCCGTCCTGTGGGTGGATGTTTCCTCCCCCGCTTTTTGGGACGGTGTTTTTGTCATGTTTCCCCGTTCGATGGGGTTCTGCGTGACTTTTGATCTCGGGTGCGCCTGCGCCTTCGTGTGCCTTCGGGACTAGTGTTGGCTTCTGTGTTCTCGAGGGTACGGGAAGGTTTTTCGCTACTTCCCGCATTATTGGAACGTCTGTCGGCTCCTAGTACTTGTCGCCCTGTTGGGCTACTTGTCGCCCTGTTGGGCTACTTGTCGCCCTGTTGGGCTACTTGTCGGCCGTTTGGGCTACTTGTCGCCCGTTTGGGTTCCCTTTTTTTGGGCTCTTTGCTTCTTTGGCCGGTTTTATTGTTCCTGCTTCCTCTTTTGGCTCTTTTTCTCGTGCAATAGTCCTGGCTGGCGCCTTCCCGCAGGGAGGGTGTGCGGTTCGGCCAGCGTGTTATGCGCATGCGCCGTGGAGTTTGTTTTGGTCTGGGCGATGGTTCAGTGCTGGGGTTTTGCGCCCCTTTTTGCTACAGTGCTTCGCCTCTCGTTCTTCTCCCTGGCTGCGGTATGTGCCCCTTTGCGCCAGGGGTGTCCTGGTTCCCAGTTGTGGGGAGGACACCGCGGTTTTCTGTGTCATGGGTGTGGACCGCCTCCTTCGCCTCTCCCTGTTCTCCTGCGGGTCCGGCTCTGGCGTCTTCACCTGGCGGTGCTCCCAAGTTCTTCTGGGCACGGTTGAGTCGTGTCAAGTTCGAGCCACCATTCGCCAGGTGAGTTTCTGCGGTCTGGCGTCTTTTGGCCGGGCGCTGGATGCGGCGGTGTTCATATACCTGTCTTTATTTAGGTATAATTTTGTACGACTGAGACCGTTCGCACACCAGTGACTGTCCCTTTATCACCCCTTCCTGTCCCCCTCATGTGCATGTCCAACCCATGCTGGAGTCGTTCAGGGGACCCTCCTTTTTTAATGTTGTGAGGTGTGGGGGTTGTAGGGTTGGTTCTGTACTCACCTGGTGAGGCTCCTGGCTGTGCTTGCAGGATTTGAGCTCTGGCTCTTGGGTCCCGCCTATCTGGTAGAACTTGCGGGATAGTACCAGTGGAGTGCAGTGGTGCTATTGGCACTTTTGGGGAACACTGTATTACCATCAGTGGTCTGTGCTTGTTACACGACCTACTTGCGAGCATAAGCCTTCTTGCTGGTTCGTCCGTGGACTTCCAGGGCGCACTGGCCTGTTTTCGTATGGCAGTTCCGGCCCGTCCTGGTTGTGGGGGTATGTGGGCCGGTGGACTGCTTTTTTTGCTACAGTGCTTCGCCTCTCGTTCTTCTCCCTGGCTGCGGTATGTGCCCCTTTGCGCCAGGGGTGTCCTGGTTCCCAGTTGTGGGGAGGACACCGCGGTTTTCTGTGTCATGGGTGTGGACCGCCTCCTTCGCCTCTCCCTGTTCTCCTGCGGGTCCGGCTCTGGCGTCTTCACCTGGCGGTGCTCCCAAGTTCTTCTGGGCACGGTTGAGTCGTGTCAAGTTCGAGCCACCATTCGCCAGGTGAGTTTCTGCGGTCTGGCGTCTTTTGGCCGGGCGCTGGATGCGGCGGTGTTCATATACCTGTCTTTATTTAGGTATAATTTTGTACGACTGAGACCGTTCGCACACCAGTGACTGTCCCTTTATCACCCCTTCCTGTCCCCCTCATGTGCATGTCCAACCCATGCTGGAGTCGTTCAGGGGACCCTCCTTTTTTAATGTTGTGAGGTGTGGGGGTTGTAGGGTTGGTTCTGTACTCACCTGGTGAGGCTCCTGGCTGTGCTTGCAGGATTTGAGCTCTGGCTCTTGGGTCCCGCCTATCTGGTAGAACTTGCGGGATAGTACCAGTGGAGTGCAGTGGTGCTATTGGCACTTTTGGGGAACACTGTATTACCATCAGTGGTCTGTGCTTGTTACACGACCTACTTGCGAGCATAAGCCTTCTTGCTGGTTCGTCCGTGGACTTCCAGGGCGCACTGGCCTGTTTTCGTATGGCAGTTCCGGCCCGTCCTGGTTGTGGGGGTATGTGGGCCGGTGGACTGCTCCTAGCAGCTGCCTGGTGGGCCATCCTCTGGCCGGTCTGGCCTGACCTTGGGCCGGGCTTGAGGTGTAAAAGAGCTCCCAGTACCTCATCCAGCAGGTATCGAGCGGGGTTTCTCCGCCGTCGGTCGCCTGGTGCAGGTTTCTGGGCCTGCAGGGTTTTGTCGTGTCTCCGTTGGCCCTGTCTGGGGTCTGCCTGCTCCGTTCTCTGCCTTTGCAGAGGGGAGTTGCTATTTACATGTTGCATTTGCAGTGGTGCCCGTTGCTGCTGCTGCTGCACGTGAGCATTGGTACCGTGTTTCACGGTGGCGTGTCCTTGTTCCTGTCTCCGGTTGTGGAGTGGCGCTTTGCTGCCGTTTTTGTGCCTGGGGATTGCGTGGGGTTTTTGTCCCTGCCTGATTGTCCACCCCTGGTTGTTCTCCTGGTTTTTTTTTTTTTTTTGTGCTTCTGCTCTTTCTTCCTGCCTCTTCTGCAGCAGGAATGTTCTGCGTGTGTTCTTAGGCGTTGGTCAGCCTGTGTCCTGTGATGTGCTTCTTTGTCTCGGTCTGTTGCAGTTGTTCGTGCCCCTTGGTTCGGGTCCTGTTCTGGCGGCGACCCTTCCGCCTTCTTTGGTTTTCCTAGCTTGCCCTGCCGGTTGTTGTTGTTTTACTTTTTTTGGGGGGGTTCTTGCGATGTCTCGCGTCGGACCCGTCGTTTCTGAACTCCTGGCGGGCTT